CATAAAAATACTCTATAAAGAAAAAACCCAACCAGGATCCCCTACTCTTTTCGTGTAAGATAGTCAAACATTGTATTGCACCCCAAGCAGCGTGGTAATGGGCCACCAGCTGAACTACACCTCCCAATATTTAGGCAGCGCAGCGCGTTGTGTTTGAAAATCACCTCTCCGTAAAAGAACATCATTGTTTTTAACGTATGTAAACTATGGGCTGTTTTCGTTGATTATCGACGACTATAATTATTGAGTGATCAGGTTTTGTAAACTGTCTTTGTTGAGCATCTCGGTGTATATCTTCCGCACTCTCAGCCTGACAAATTTCCGCGAGTTGGATTAGGGGAAGGGCCCCTGGGAACTGGAGAGAATTCAACTTCAGCACACACAGCTGTGATGATCAGTCCAGTTGGAACAGAAACTAGCTGTCAAATGCGGCCCTCAATGGGTGGAACAGTTCAATGCAACAAGGGATCTGTTTGTTTCTTCTCAAGCGTTGGATGTGTACAATCGGTTCTCATTACAAGAACACCAGGTAGGCGGGCGGCATGTGCGTGACATATGTTTCGGGCTGCTCGCCATATTCGCCCTTGTCGCCACGGGCGGAAATGTGGCTGTAATATAGAATTGGAATCTGAATCGAGTTCAGGGCTCTAATTTTGTAACTAGGTGAACATTTCTGATGATGGGCATCCGTTGTTGCTTTTGAACTGTAGATGTTTTTCCTCCGCAACTGGTTACTGTACCACAATGCTCAATTCAGTCACTCACGGGAAAAAACGTTCGCGAGTGACTGTTTTTCGATTGTGCTGACCTTTGGACACGGGACAAGGAGAGCAACGACTGTACTGTATGGTTCCGATGAGGCCCCCCTATCGTTCGATGCATGCATGAAATCCCATCAGCCATCATAATAATCCCACGACAAATCGGCAGGCATTCCCTTTCCTGTCAACATTGTGCTTCTCATCATGACAAGAAAGGAGTCTTCTCTTGCCCCCACAAGCAGAGAGAAATGGGGGTCGTCTTTGAATTTCGAGCCAGTCTGAGTGGGATGGGATCCCTCGCCCGGGCGCAAGGAAGGAGGTGGAGCGGATGAGTTGATGGGGGGAGGGTGGGGGAAGGCGCAGAAGGACAAGTTTCGTGTCTTCGAGATGCAGTGCAACCACTGCTGCCTGAGACCTGAGCTGGTGGACATGTCACAAATCTCGCGAATGAAAGGAATCCCATCGAAGGAGGTAGTGTAATGATCGTTGCCGACTTTTGTGTAACGCTCCCTCCCTCAGCAGCCTTGCAGTATCCACCTGCGAGCCAGACAAACCAGAATGAGGTTGTTTTTCCAGCGTTGGTAGGATCTTGGCATTCGCACTCTCAAAATCAGCTTGGGAAAAGTGCAACTGGAATTGCCGCCATGGCTGCCGCTCTTTGCGCAATGGAGTGCGCCACGGAAGGAAGTCATGGCTGATCGGACGCAATCGCGCGTGGCACGTCGCCGTGAGCTGCGCTGTGCCCGTCTTTGGAAGTTCCTTAAAGCTATCAACCGCCTACTGGTGCTATCGTCACGGTGGAAGCCGCATTATTGGAACAAGGCGATACTGAAAAGATCTTACTGCGTACTGACTGAAACCACGCAACGCAACGCAACGCAGGAGTGCATTTGAGGAAGAAGCACGCAGGCAGGCAGGCAGGCAGGCAGATGCAGCAGCAGCAGCAGCAGCAGCAGTATGGTAGTAATGATCATGAGCAACAACGGTCATTACCATGATGCGACAGGGACAGGGGCCATGCCGAATCTCGGCCTCTGCATTGGCCGTCCAGACAGCGGCGCTGCCACGATCCCGCCGCCTCACATGACCAGATCATCACCCCCGCTCGCCGCAACTGAAGCATCCTCAGCGGTAGCTGCAGAAGCTGCTGCTGGCTTGCCCGCTTCGCAAGACAGCGGCGTTGTGGGAATTTCCGCGCCTTTACTACCACCTGCAAGACCACAAGGACGTGCCGCGTCATACTGCTACGAGGAGCAGGATCAGAAGGCGCAGATTGTCCGAGCTATGGCGGGGAACGAGCAGCAGCAGCCGCAACAGTGGCAGCAGTGGAAGCAGCAGCAGCAGCAGTGGCAGCAGCAGCAGCGTCAGCATCATCAGCAGCAGCAGCCGCAACAGTGGCAGCAGCAGCAGTGGCAGCAGCAGCAGCAGCAGCAGCAGCATCAGCGCGCCTCAGGAGATCTTGCACAAAGCAGGGGACTCGGCGAACTCTTCGCTCCATCCGCTACTTCTACCGCTCCAAACTCGCCGCCCTCTCCGCAGCCCTTCACTCACCCTATCGCTGCCTCGTCCTCCCCTGTCGCAAGCTCTTCCGCCCAAGGCGGCACAGCCGGGTTTCCCATCATGCCAGTTGAACCTCCACCAGCTCCCACCGGCCCTGGTTCACCCTTCCAACGGGAGGGGAGGGCAGAAGGAGAAAGAGGAGGAGATGTAGGTGGTGGTGGTTTGGGGATCGGTGTGGGGCGATGGAGAGCGTCAGAGACGAGCTTTGGTGGCCCTGCGAGTATTACAGTGGCTGCTACAGCTGCAGCTACTACCGCAGGGGCCGCACCGTGGCTAGCCAGCTCTGCACTCAGCAATCTTTTGAAGAAAGAAGCCCCGGAGTCTGCACCTCCTGCTGCTCGCGCCGCCGCTGCTGCTGCTGCTGCTCCCGCTGCTGCTGCTGCTGCTGCTGCTGCTGCTGCTGCTACCACGAACCACCCCCCATCGAGCCCAACCACTGCGTCTAGCCTTTCGCCGGCTCTTTCTCCGCCCTTTCCGCCGGTTCTTCAGGCGCCTCTGTCCCCTTCTCCGCTTCATCCGCTTGGGTTTCCCACTCCACATCATCCTTCTACCCAACATTCCCCGGCCCCGGTCGGTGGCCTCTCTCCTCCATCTCACAGCCTTCGAAACACATCAGCAACATCAGCATCGTCCGCTGTAGCGGCCGCAGCAGCAGCTATTCTTGCAGCCGCAGGGGTTTCGATGCCAAATCCTGGTGCGTCTTCTGCTGCTGCTGTTGCCGCTCCTCCTCCTTCTGGAGTGGGGGAATCAGCGGCCACACCATCGGCAATCACTCCCATCTTGCCGCCCATCCACGCATCCTCGGCAACCCAGCAGCACCGGATCCAAACAAACCAGAACCTACTAGCACCGCACTCACAGCCCTTCTCCCAGGAGCAAAATCAGCTCCACGCGCTTCTCAGCCTTGCCGCTGCTGGCCTCATTCCCTCTTCCACTGCTGCATCACTAGCCCAGCACCCCGCACCCCCACCACCAGCACCGTACACTCACACACCCCCTCATCCGGCCCCGTTCAGGGCTATGTCGAGTCATACGAGCACAGGCCCTTATCCTGTCCCTTCTGGTCCCCCCACTGCTTCGACTCCTCCGTTATTCCCTCACACTCTCCTCTCTTCTCCAGCTGCTTTGTTCCAACCTGGAGTCAGCACAGCAGGAACCACCACCTTCAGCCCTGCAGGGAACACACCGCAGCCGTCCAATCTCGCGGCTGCTATTGCTGCTGTGGCAGCGGCCATTGCAGCGGCTGGAGGCAATTCGGGGCACGCCCATGCGCCTGCTGCTGGTCCCGGTGGTGGCACAGGCGGCGGCACAGGTGATGGGGCAAGGGATCCAATCAGGCAGCTGCTGTTCCCCTCAGCGGTCACCCATGCACCTGAGAGTATTGTTCGGATGTTGATGCAGCAGCAGCAGCAGCAGCAACAACAGCAGCAACAGCAACAACAGCAGCAGCATCCGCAGTACCAGCTTCAGCAGCAGGTTGGGAGCAGCAACGAGCAACAGCAGCACGGTCTAGCGCACCCATGGGAGCACGGGCCGACTGCAGAGAAACGAGAAACAAGCGCACGAGAAGAAGAGAAACGGGCCTGCAGCAATCAAGGGGAGGAGAACGCATGGAGGGATAGTGAAGATGGGAGGATCGGGAAGAAACGGGCACGAAACAGAAGCGGCCAGGAAGGGCAGCAGCGCACAGGCAGTGCTATGGGAAGTTTCGGCAGTGGCAGTGGCGGCACCATGGGCAGTGGCAGCTACGACCTCACACCAGCACAGCAGGAACCCTTCTGGAGTGCTGCTGTTGGTTGTGATGCTACTGGTGGTGTTGCTGCTGGTCGTGCTGCAGCTGCTGCTGCTGCTGCTGCTGCTGCTGCTGCTGCTGGTGGCAGTGGTCGTAAAGAGGGCGAAAGGCGAGCATGGTGTGGGACGGAAACACCTGATGCTCCGGTTATTAGAAGCCCTGGGAGGGGGCGCACGAGGAGAAGATTTGCCCTTGGGACTGGCGCTGGATCTGGTGCTCGCAGCAGCACGCCTACTGCTGCTGCTGCCGCTGCTGCTGCTTCCTCTCCTGCTACACCTGCCACGGTTGCTGGTGCTGCTGCTGCTGCTGCTGCTGGTCCTGCTGCTGGTGCTGCTGCTGCTGCTGCTGCTGCTGCTGGTGATGTGGAAGGTGTGGATGAGGATACTGAAGATGATATCTACGCCGATGGAAGGGGAGGGGGGGCGTCTGGGGGTCAGCAACTGGAGTGGAGTGTGAGTCTCCTCTCTCTCTCTCTCTCTCTCTCTCTCTCTCTCTCTCTCTCTCTCTCTCTCTCTCTCTCTCTCTCTCTCTCTCTCGCACACACACTCACGCCCACACACACACAGAAACACACACACACACACACACACACACACACACACACACACACACACTTTCCCTCCCTTGCAGCTTCTCCCTACCATCTTGACCATTGTTTTCTTTCCCCCTCTCCTGCAGCTCCGCGCACCTCGCCTTTCCCCCCATGGCCCCCACCAACCCCCCCATCCCCAGGACGCGGCAGAGGGCGAGTAGGGCAGCGAGTGGTGTTCTGAGTCGACTCAAAACACGACTCATCCCGCGCATCTCACCTTTCCCCCCATGGCCCCCACGAGCAACAATCTTTGAGGCGCCTCAAAACTCATTCCGCGCATCTCGCGTTTCTCGCCATGGCCCCCAACCCACCAACCCCCCCAGCCCCAGGACCCAGCGGAGGGCGAGGAGGGCAGCGAGTGGGACATGCAGGCGCGCGGGGGCGGGGCGCACTCCACTCGCCCACGCAGCGTGGCGGAGCGGAACAGACGCAGCAAGATCAGGTGCGGAGGGGAGGGGAAAGGGGGGGGGAGAAAAAGGGGGCGGGCAAATGGGAGTGAGGAGAGCGTGGGAGAATGTTCTGCTGACAGGGAAGGGAGTGGAGAACGCAGGTGGTGAGAAATGGGTGAGGAGAGGGGAAGGAGTGTGGGTGGGGGAAAGGGGAATGGGGTTGTTGGGGAGAGGAGGACAGAGGAGGGAGTTAGGGGTTATGGAGGCCAGTGCATGGAGAAGGCTCAATGCTGCCTCAAGCTGCCATGATGCCATCACTACCACTGGTGACCATTTGGTTCGGGCATCAATCATCAACAGAGGCACCAGTCATTGATTCAGCCGCCAGTCATTGATTCAGCCGCCTGACCCTTCTTAAATCACCAAACGATATTCCAAGCGTCCAACATCTTTTCTTCAAATCCCATCATTTCATGCACTCTGTTTCCAATCGCCTCTGTTTCATGCACTTTCATTTGCCTCCCTCCTTCCCCCGCGTCCACCCCCTCCCCCCAGTTCCCGCCTGGACCGTCTCAAGGAGTCACTCCCCATCTGGAATCCGCGCATGGACACCGCCACCATGCTAGACGAGGCCGTTTTAGAGCCGCGTCTCAAAAATGTTTCTGTTCCCAATCGCCTCGTGCTATGTGTCTAGCTCATCGCCACCCGTCTTATCTCCCCTCAGTCCCGCCTGGACCGTCTCAAGGAGTCATTTCTCATCTGGAATCCGCGCATGAAAACCGCCACCATGCTAGACGAGGCCGTAAACTTCATCTCATCAGCTCACATCCCACCATCGACACCCACCACTCTCGTTCCGCGTCCCCTCCCCCCAGTTCTCGCCTGGACCGTCTCAAGGAGTCGCTCCCCATCTGGAATCCGCGGATGGACACGGCGACAATGCTAGACGAAGCCGTAAATTTCATCGCGCTGCTAAAGAAGGAGGTTCGCCGTCTGCACGTGGAGCGCGACGAGCTCGCTAGCCGCCTCCCGCCCGACGCCAAACCGCGGCCGAAAGTCGCCGCCGCGGACGACAAGCCCGAGGCGGATGGCGCGACACGCGGGAAGCGGAAACCGGATGCGGATAGCGAGGCTCATTGAGGCGCGTATAGACTGGTTACTGTGGTGTTCCGACGCCAAGCCGCTGCCGAAAGTCGCCGCCGCGGACGACAAGCCCGAGGCGGATGATGCGACGCAGGGAAGGACTAACTGGGTGCCGACAGCAGGGCTCGTTGATGCGTGAGTGGCTGCTGTGGTGGTGTAAGCACCGGATATTGTAGGGGAGATGATGTGCATGGCGAAAGTGTGGAAGAGCGTACTGTACTGTAGCACGCTTTACCGTGGCATCTTTGTTTACGGAATAAATATTGAAGTGTATTGGCAACTGTAACGGGATATTACTAGAGGCCACGTACAGGGATCTGCTCTCAGGGAACTGAATCTCAAGGATCTGCTCTCGAAGAGCAAAGCATTCAACACTGGAGCCATCAGTCTGGAAAAAATGTGGCATGGTGTCTGGAAGGAAAGGGGATCACCAGGTATCGCCACTTGTGCATTTGCTGCAAAACCTTGTTAGACAATCGCTACAGTTGTGTTTGTGCAACCTACCGTAAAAGACGAATGCTAACATTCAACACAAACTCAGCGCAGTGCAATGCAGGTGGAGGGGAGGGGGGGGGGGGAGAAGGCGAGTTGTGCAGGCTCATGGCAGGCTCGAATGTAATCCTCCGCCGCTGCTGCACAAGGCTCATTCCCACACCTGGAAGCATCAGACCCATTCCTGCATCTGAAAATGCACACAGGTGCATCATCCCCACGGGTGCGGGTGCAAGGCTTATCATCCCCAGAGGTGCGGGTCAGAGGTGTGCAGTTGTGAGAGGTCCACGCCCTTGCCAAGGAGGTAGTTGCCCGTGCGCACATACACCTCCTGCACCTGCTCCAACTCCATTGACATCACCTGCAAAAAAACAGCAAGTCCATGGTTTTTCAGGGAAACCAGCGGTGGGTGCAAGTGGGAGGAGCAGGCAGAAGGAAAGGAGAGGCAGAAAGCGGGTGTATGACCTAGAGGACGACGGCGGGGATGTGGGCGCGCATGAGATGAGATGACAGGGTGCGGGCATGCAGGTTTGTTATAGAAGGATTGATGGCAGCGGAGGGTGGAGGGACTGCGGGCGCAGCACACGTGGGAGAGCAGCACACATGGGAGAGCAGCACGCGTGGGAGAGCAGCACACGTGGGAGAGCAGCACACGTGGGAGAGCAGCACACGTGGGAGAGCAGCACACGTGGGAGAGCAGCACACGTGGGAGAGCAGCACACGTGGGAGAGCAGCACACGTGGGAGAGCAGCACACGTGGGAGAGCAGCACACGTGGGAGAGCAGCACACCTGGGAGAGCAGCACACCTGGGAGAGGAGGCTCTCGACAGTGACGGTGTGTGGCGAGATGAAGGACTGGTAGTAGATGAAGGAGAACACTGCCATCACCATCTGCATGGGGGTGAGTTTTTGGTGTGTGCGGTGGATGGGTTGGATAGGTTGGTGAAGGAGGTCTGACAGCACAGTATGCATGGAGCACACACATGCACATGCACATGCACATGCACATGCACACAACTTCATTGCACAACACCATGCTCCATCGCACTACTCGAATCCCTCATCAGCACATAATCACGAAGTCCAAGGAGATAGGTACAAACAGACACCGTAAGCGCGAACATGCATGCATGCACAGACAGACTCTCGAGGCAGAGAAATGCATGGCATGGCATGGCATGGCAACACCAAATTCATGATTCTTCAGGAGCCTCAAACAACGGCAACAGCCGTCTCACCTGGCAGTCCATGCGATCTGTGATGCCTCCGTGCCCAGGTATCATCTCCCCAAAGTCCTGCTTGAATCACAAGCACACATACAACAATGGACAGATGAAAACATGGACGTTAGTGGGGCATGCAGCAACTGTCACAAGGCCATTGGTTGGCACGACATGGGATGCACGTGAAAGTAGCAGGTACCTCAGGCCCACAACTGCAGGGCTGCACAAAGCATGGCCTGTTGGCAGTGAGAGAGTAACCATACCAGAGGGTGGCCGGATGAGTGAGTATGTGCAGGAAGCAGGGCACCTGCCTTGACATTAGAAGAATACTTTATACCCTTGACACGTTACCTTGGCTAATACAGGGGGATGAGCGCAGAGACGGACCTTGATCTTGAATGCACGCTTGAAGCCCGAGGCAAAGAAGCCGCCAAAGACGATTTGCTAGGTGCCTTAACAATTGCGTCAGATCAGTAAAGGGAGATGAGCGCGCGCAGAGACGGACCTTGATCTTGAATGCGCGCTTGAAGCCCGAGGCAAAGAAGCCCCCAAAGGGAGCGATGGAGGACGCAAAGATGGCAAACACCACCGCATGGCGCTGGAAGGGCGACATCCACATGTGGCCCTGGGGGGGGGGACGGGAGGGAAGGGTAAAGAAGGGGAGGGGGGGAGGGGATGGGGAGAGAAAACAGAACGTCCTCTGTTAGGGGGCGCACTGGAAAAAGCCCCTAAAGACGGCGATAGATGGCAAACACCATTGCATGGCACTGGAAGGGCGACATCCACGTGTGGCCCTGGGGGTGACGGGAGAGGGGGGGGGAGGGGGAGCGGGGAGGGGAGAGGGGAGGGGGTAGGGGAGACGGGATGGGGGAGAGGAGAGGGGAGCGGGAAGGGGAGAGGAGAGGGGAGGGGGGGGAAGGGGAGAGGAAAGAGGTCCTTTATGGAAACACGAATTACAAAAAGTCATGGGAACACAAGGAACACGAGTGGGTCAGAGATGAGTCATGGCAGCAAGAATGGCTAACTGCTGGTTGTGTGGTGGAATGAGAGAGTAAGGGAGCAAGAAAACAGGGGAGAGGGAAAGAGAGGAAGGGAGGAGGAAGAGCAGGCAAGCAGAGGCAATGAACAAGGCTCGACGGCAAGGGAGGGAGCAGGGAGGTACCGAGGGTGCGATGACTCGCAGCCAGAGCGGCACTGTTCGCAACTGCTGCTGAAACATGAAGTCTGGGCGGCAGTGCAGTGGTCCCGTGCTCAGATCCTGAATCAAGGACGGGGGAAAGTGGGGAAACTACTTCTGAGGCGCCTCAAAAGGCAGCGGCTGCTGAAACATGGAGTCCGGGCGGCAGTGCAGAAGGCCCTGTGCTCAGATCCTGGATGGAGGAGGGGCGAAAGTGGGGGACTATAATTGAGAAGTATATTGGTTCTCAAATTATGCAAGGGAGGGGGTGGGTAAGGGGAAGGGGAGAGGGGGAAGGACGGGGAGTCGGAAAGCAGAGGGGAGGGCATGGGGCGAGTGGATGGGGATGGTGCATGTGTGGGGAGGGATCAGGAGTCTGGTGGGAGAGGAATAAGAAGTGGGAGGTGGAGTGGAAGGGAGGGACGCAGCGGAAGGAAAAGAAATTCAACGAGAGAAGAGATAGAGGCAACAATTCTGCTAGTTGTACCCTCGCACCCCTGGCCTCCCCCCCCACCCCTGCCCCCTCCCCCACCCTCCCTTGCCCCCTCTCCGCCCTCCCAGTCCCCACCCCACCCCACCCCCGCCCTGTGCTGCCTCCCCAGCGCACCTTGCGCGGGCATGTGAGCCACTCGTATTGCCCCAGAAATCCTGCTAGCTGATGGGGCGCGGGGCAGGGGGAGGGGCGCATGAGGGCATGGCGGGCATGGGCGCATGCGCGTATGGGCATGCATGCACACACGGGGACAGCAGAGTGAGGCTGGCTGAATCAAGAGCAGGTCAAGTTTGTGCCAGAGACGGCGGGACAGCAAGCGGTGGTGATGACAGGGAAAGAAGGAAAGAATTCGGTGGGGAGGAGAAGGGAAAGGGGACTGACAAGGAAGGCAGAGACGACGGTGGTGATTGAGGCCCCCAGGAAGCAGAGCAAGTACGAGCAAGTAAGAACAAGTGCATGAAGTGAGAAAGAGCAATGGAGGGGCAGGGGCAGGAAAAGCGGCGGCGGGGAGAAGGGACAGGTGAGGAGAGGAGAGGAGAGGAGAGGGGCCTGACAAGGAAGGCGGAGACGACGGTGGTGATGGAGGCGCCGAGGAAGCCCTCCCAGGTCTTCTTGGGCGACAGCTGGATGAGCGGCGTGCGACCGAAGAAGAAGCCAAACACGTACGCGGAGCAGTCGTTGATTATGATCAGCGAGCACGGTAGCAGGAACCTGGGAGGGTGGGGAGGTGGGCACGGGAACGAGAAGGGGGAGAGGACCAGGGGGTGATGACGTGGGAGGGGGCGGGGAAGAGAGGGGGAAGGGGGGAATAGGGCAGGATTTGAATGTAAGGGGAAGAGGATGAGGCTTATCAGGGAGGAGTTGAGAAAGATCCCACCTCTGCCGGCACTACCACAGCACAACCCCTGTTCACACATGCCCAATGATTGCCCCAACCCCCCACTCCCCTTATTCCCCTCACCCATTTCCTTTCCGCCCGTCACTCCCCTCCACCCCCTTCTCTCCCCTCCCTTCTCCTTGCGTGAGCCAAGGGGCGCGTGCAGCGCACGCACCAGATGATGCCTTGAAAGATGTTAGCGACAAAGAAGGAGGACTGGAAGAAGACAACGAAGAGGATCATGTGCGTCCATGCGAACTGCCCGAACTGGTACTTGTACTGCCCGGGGCGCAGACTCAATATGAACCACACGAAGCCTGCCATGAGGAAGGGGAGCGGAAAAAGGGGAAGGGGAACGGATGTGGAGGGGGAGAGGGGAGGGACGGGAGAGGGGGAGGGGGAAGGGAAGGAAGGCGGGGAGAGCGAGGGGAAGAGGAAGAAAGGGGGACTGGGTACTTAGACTTGGATTAGGAGCATGGCAAGGGGTGAGAGAAGGAAGGGAGGGAGAAAATGGAGCGGAGGTGAGAATGTAAAATGGAGCGGGAAGGTGAGGAGACGAGGACGAGACAAGGAGATGGGAGCAGGTGGTGGGAGGAGGGCAAGGGCGTGTGTACGGTTGGGGGATTAAGGGGGAGAGGGTGGGGGCGGGGGTGGGGACCACATAGTATCAGGCACATAAGCACGGTTGATGTGACAATATGGGAGCGAGAGGAGCAGCTGGAATAACGAAACAATCAACATGAGAGTAGGAACGGGGGCAGGGAAGGAGAGGGCCCGAGGGGACTGGGGAAACCAGCGGGGGGAAGGGGGAGTGGTTGGTCTGGAAACGTGGGGGAAACAAAAGGTGGGTTGATCTTGAAAACGCAACACTGTGCGGGGGGATGGGGCAACATGGAGAGTTTGCTGGGCTCGTGATGTTCCGAGCTGAAGGCTCTAGGAACGTGCCTATGATGTAGAGCGAGTAGGAGATGATGGCGTGGTACTGCAGGAAGGAGATGAGCACGTGGCGGTGCAGCGGGCGCGTGTCGTCAGACGTGAAGGACACCATCAGCTGCTTGCGCATGAAGCTGCCGTACACGTACACCATGGCCGTCACGAAGAAGTGCCTGGGGGAGGGGGGAGAGAGGGGGTATGGGGTGGGGTGAAGCAGGGGCTTGTGAGGCGTCTCAACAGGCGCCACAAAAGGCTGCTTGCGCATAAAGCTGCCGTACACGTACACCATGGCCGTCACGAAGAAGTGCCTGGGGGATGGGAGGTGGTGGAGGGGGTTGATGGAGGGGAGGGGAGAGGGTTGAGGCTTGCGCATGAAGCTGCCGTACACATACACCATGGCCGTCACGAAGAAGTGCCTGGGGGAGGGGGAGGGGGGAAGAGGGGGGGGGGAATAAGAATGAGGCGACTCAAAAGGTTGTTAGCGCATGAAGCTGCCGTACACGTACACCATGGCCGTCACGAAGAAGTGCCTGGGGGAGGGGGAGGAGAGCGGGGGGTGGATGGTGAGGGGGGAAGGGGGTTAAGGCACCTCAAAAGGATGCTTGCGCATGAAGCTGCTACAGCATGTCTGTCACGAAAAGTGCGTGGGAGAGGGGCGGTGGTGGGGGGAGAGGGGGGATTGTGGGGACGGAGGGGCGTGTGTGTGCGGTGATTGAGAGGAGAAGAAGAGGGGAACGGGAGCGGTGAAGGCGGTGAGGAGAGATGAAACGGGACATATGAAACGGGAGGCATGAAAAGGGAGTAATTGCGTGGGTATCGCGAGGACTGAGCGCGACGGAAGGGAGGGCAGCAAGCAGGGAAATTCAGAAAGAAAGATATAACTCCCAGCGCTGAACCGATGATGCCCGCACACACGCGCGCATCCCGGGGGAAACATCGAGATGGATTGGAACGCGACGGAGAAGGACAAGGCTGGGAGGAAATTACGAAAAAATAGGTCCGGAATTTGGAAGAGAGGTACCCGTGTGCTTCTTCCATGCCAGAAGTGTCACCCTTGCGAAAACCATGGCGAAAAGGGAAAGCATTGAAGGGGCCTGCTATGCGATTCCTCTTGCCGGCACAAGGAACGAAATTCCGCATGTTTGCTCAGTCATCCCCGAATTTCAACCCTACTCACCCATCCACACCTCGTTTCACCCCTCGCCAGCCTTCCATTCTCATCCCCCTTACTTAATAATTTTCCATTCCTCATCTTCCACACGGCCTCCCTAGACACAACCGCAGCGACGTCTCACCAGTTCAGGAACCGGAATGCGGCGTGCTGCTGGTGCGACCGCGAGCGAATCGCGCGCGTCGCGAGCCCGAAGAGCTCGTGCGTCATGAGGATTTGAAGCGCGATGATGAGCGCCCAGATGTACACGTGTCCCATGTACACGATCACCGCGAATCCGCCAATCATCCCGCTACACGCTCGATCGCACGCGCGTCCACATCCCCACGTACTTCCGCTTATCGTCTATCAGCAGCGGCGGCGCCGCGTCCGCTGCGCTCGCTCCCCCGCCGGCCCCGCCCCCGTCCTTCCCCCCTCCCCCCTCCCCGTCCCCGTCCCCTTCCCCCGTTGTTCCCCCGCTTCCCCGCGAGCGACTCCTTGGGGAGAGCATTTCATGCCCAAAGCGCGACCCCACAACTCTCCGCCTAACCAGCCCCTCCCCTCCGCTCAACCTGTCACTATCCCCTCCGTCCCGGTCTCGCTCAAACTCCGATTCGCGGTCCGTATCGCGGTCCGTGTCCCTGTCCGTGTCGCGTTCCCTGTCGCTCTCATCCCCTGCACTCGGATCGAAGCGGCCATCTTGGCGCCACTGCGGGGGAGAGGCCTGCTGCCACCGCGCCTGCTCCTCGCCCTGCATCCCGCCGTCCCTCCCGCTGGTTTCCGAAAATTGTCAAGATGCAACCGTCGCACCCGCCGCAGCGGGTAGTTTATCTGGTGCTAGTCCGATTCTACAGCCTTTAAGTCTACTCGTTTAACCTAGGCCGCGGCCGTCACGTGCAACTAGAACGCGATCGACGGACACCCACACCCCTTCTGTCGCCACCCGTCTGTCGCCCTGGCCGCTACCCCCCTAGATCCACGTCAATCTCGCACCAAAGAAAAGAAGTTGAACTAGACGTTGATTATGTTGATGGTCTTAATCGGAGACTGGATGCACAAATTCCGCTCCACGACCCCACGCCGATGTCGCTGGTTATTTTTTGTGACGACCGCAGTGGTCTACGACTCTAAGCAGAAGAAGCGTGAAGGTCACCAGCAGCTAAGCCTACCCAATCCATCCGAGACTAGCCCTGGTCTACATGCTCTGTCACGCACACCTGCAGCTGCTGGGCTGTGGTGTGTGAGAATGGATTCGAGATGCTGTGTGTCCTTCCCTCAAGATTTGTCCGCCCGGCGTTTCGTGGTGGGGTTCTGGACTCGGGATTCAGGATTCCAGGAAGGAGGAGCAAGCCACTACTGTAGGGGAAAAGTGCGGGCCTGCTTCCGTTTCGGTTCCAGCCCAATCAACAACGCCTGTTCCACCTTGTTCGTCCAATCATCACCTCTCCCCATTCCCTGGGGTTGCTGCGGAAGGAGGGAGACAGTGGGCAAAAAAATTGCGGGCAACTGAAGGCCTGACAGAGAGATGGCGACGACTCGTCACTCGCAGGTTCGGTGGCAGGAAGTTCCCGCGTGTACGAAATCCTCGAAAAGAATAGATCCATTACTTGTTCAGCTCACAATATGTACTGTGAAGAAAATAGTAGCCGTTTTTTACCATCCATAATGAAGGATTTCAACAAACCATTTAGGCAAAAAATAAATATGCTATGATCATTATGCATGTTGAACTCAAAGAATTATGGTTTTTTAAATTATTGAAAGAAAATACATATCAGAACCCAAACCGTTTTCGAGTAGAATAAGCACAGAATAATTGGACTCCATAATTTCATCCATAAGGTTGTTCCTGAAATTTGGTGATTGTAATCGTTTGTGAAGCACTCGCTGGCGAAGATGCCTTGTGCTTGGCGAGCTTCCCTTTCCCCACCACCACAATCACCCCACCCCACTGCTTCCGTTTCCCGCTTTCTTCCCGACAGCCGTGTCTTCATTTTTTGCCTCATCTGTCCGCCATCTGCGTTTCGGCCAGTCCCGTAAGATCTCGGTAGTAATAATGGGGCGCACACTTGAGGACGATGACGAGTGCTTTCCCAGAGGTCTGTGTTTTGACTCCCTGCAGCCATGCTTTGCCATTCGACTGTGTATCCACTCCCTGCATCAACATGCCATTATTCAGGATTCTAGAGTTACTTCTATTTCAAACTCGATAGGCGTTAGCTACTGTTAAACGCCAGTGTTTCAATCAGTTTCTCCACCTCCCCCACCCTTTTTTCCACGCATCTTCTTAATGATCACTCACAGGAAAAGCACCTCTTGCAAAACCTCTCGCAAAGTCTCCCGCAAAGCTTTCCACACCCCGACCTGCAAAATCCCGCAAGGCCGCGGAAGCCAGCCATGCCGCGACGGACGGGGACAGGGTTTTAGGTGGCGAGGGTTTTGTGGGTGATGAAGGAAAGAAAAAAGAAACTCCGGAAAAGAAGGGGAAGGCGAAGCTTGCGCGTGGGGAGGGAGGAGCGAAAGATCGAAAGCGGGCTCGCGAGGAGGTCGCAGCAGGAGAGGCGGAAGCATCTGGAGAAAAGCAGGCGAGATATGGAGAGCCGGGGAAAAAAACCGGCAAGGCGGAAAAAGCGCAGGCGCAGGGAGAGGGGAAAGCGGCGGCGGAGGGGAAGAAGAATAAGCGGAAGAAGGGAGCGGGTGGTGCGGTAAAGCAGGGGGTGAGCGTGCTAGAGGAGTGGGTGGAAGAAGAGGAGGACATCGGCGCGCAGATCGCACTTGCGAGAGCTGAGGAAGCTGCGAAGAAGGAGGCGGAGGAGGTTAAGAGGCGCCTGGGAGATAAGGAGAGCACCGCGACGAGTGTGAAGGGCTTCACTGCTCAGGTGTGGCTTTATTAAGTAGCTAAATTCTTAATTCTATTCCCATGATACGTACGGTCTACAAAAAAACCCTCCAGGAAACAATACTCCCTGCAACGCTTGTGTCTTGTGTCGTGGCGCTTTGTCGCTTAATCCACATTCCTTGAACCCCTGGCTAAACCCTGCCTGCATGATCTATGTTTTCTCTCCGGATCTTGTGATCCAACGGCACTCAGGACGCCACGCCAGGGACGCAGCTGTGGGGCTGTGTTGCTGAGGTCACTCCGTCCGGCCTTCTTATCAGCCTGCCACATGGCGTGTTCGGGTTTGCTGACGTGGCAGAAGTATCTGATCAGATATCGGGTTGTTTAGGGAAGGCGGAAAAGGGAGAGGCAGTGGATTGGGGGCAGGAGGATGAGGAGATGAAGGAGGAAGGTGAGGAGGAGCAGGAGGAGGGGGAGGAAGATGGAGCAGGAGGCGAGAGCATCAAGCAGAAGGTATGCAATTTTCCTTGTGGAACCGTCCTTTCTTCCCTCCCTCTTCCCCTCCCCACACCCTCCACCCCTTCCACCTCCGTCCCCCCTTATTCCGCCGCTTTCCATTCGTCACTGTCTTGTGTGTGCGCGCTAATCCTGCCAGAACTTTATTTGCATTTCCGCTCTCCACGCTCTCCTCTGCTTCACCCCCGCCCCTAGTCTCCCCGCGAGCGAGCAGCAGAGTGGATGGCGCGCATATTCTCTCAGGGCCAGCTCGTTCCCTGCACTGTGCTCCGCGCCCCTGCTGCTGCTGCTGGTAGCAACAATACAGCTGTGGCAGGGGCGGGGGCGGGGGCGGCAGCAGCGCTTGCAGAAGTGGCGGTGTCGGTGCGTCTGACACGCGTGCAGGGCCCTGTGGTGCGCTTCAAGACCGTGCCTGCACACACGGTGAGCACTGGGGAGGGCCTGGGTGAGCGGGAAGGGTCGAGGGGAGCGGCGGTGTCAGTGCGTCTGGCGCGCGTGCAGGGCCCTGTGGTGCGCTTCAAGACCGTTCCTGTGCACACGGTGAGCAGTAGGGGTTGGGGAGGGTGGTTGGGAAAGTGGGAAGGGAACGGCAGGATGGCAAGGGCGTAGGTGGAAACGGGGCGCGCGAGGGAGGGCAGTTGTGGCGTAGAGGTGGGGGAGCGGGGGGGGGGGAGAGAAAGGGGGGGATAGTAGTGGTTCCAAGTCCTGAGTATAACTCTTAGCAGCATGAAACTTGTTCTCACATACATATATTGTATATGTATACACATACATGCGTGCATGCATCAGGAGCTATGGGCGGCAGTGGAGAGTGTGGAGGAGCATGGGCTCATCCTGTCCTTCGGCCTGCGCACCATCACTGCCTTCCTGCCCTTCACCCAACTCACCCAACGATGTATGCTCTCCTTTTCCTGCTCCACCCGCCTCGCTCGCTCCTGTCCTCCTATTTTGCTCCACCCTCCTGTTTCTTGCCGCACCCCTTTGAGCATATTTTTTCGTTTGAATCCTTCCCTTCGAATCTCTTCCTCCTCCTCCTCCATCTCCTTACCTTTGTCTCTCGTCTTACTTTTACCCCAGACATGCCCCTCGCGAAACCCAAAACCCTGTCTGTCCTGGTCCCGTTTTGCTTGCTCATCAGTCCCTGGAGTGACGTTCCGCAAGGGCCAGCTTCTGCCAGTGCCGGTGGTGGTGGAGGGGCGGGACAAGGCACACAAGACGCTCACAGTCTCGCTCGAACCCACCCCTGCCACTGTCAGTGCCAAGGCGATCACCTGCTATCTTCCGTGCCTCTCATGTGCTGCTTCATAGTGTGTGTGCCCGGCTGTGTGCGCTCGCCTTTTTGTGTGAGCGTGCGTGCATGTGTGAGCGTACGTATGCTTGCATGTGTTCCCAACGCCCCCCCATTCCTTCCTCCTCAACCTCTCTGTTCTGTTCGCTACCGCACCACCTGCCACTCTTGTCAGGGCAAGGCTGCACAAGCACAAACGCCAGCACCACCACCACCAGCAGCAGCAGGAAAGGGGGAGGGCGGGGAGGGCGAGGAGGAGGGGGCTGCAGCGGTGCTACCAGGGCAGCTGGTGCAGGGCAAGGTGCTGCACGTGCTGCAGGATGGGTCCATGGCTGTGGGTCTGCCTACTGCCACTGCATGGGTGAGTGCGTGTGTGAGAACACCTGCCTAGTGCACGCTGCTGCTGCCTGCTTCCTCATGTACTGTGTCGTCTTACCTATCTTCAACTTCACCCCTCCCTCTGGCCTCCTCCATCCCCTCTCCGCCCTCCATCACCGCCCACCAGGTGCATCCCTTGAACCTACCCCGCCCCCTACTCTCCCGAGACCAGTGCCTGGCCATCTTCCCCATCGGTGCCACGGTGCGTTCCGTCCCCTCCCACTTCCCACACCTTCACCTATGCCCATCGTACTTCCTGTTGCTGCGTTACCTGCACTGGACACCTTCCTGTGCATCCATGCCTCCATGCCCCTATGCCTCCACTCCATGCCTTTATGCCTCCACTCCATGCCCCTATGCCTCCATGCCCCCATGCCTCCATGCCCCTATGCCTCCATGCCCCCATGCCCCCATGCCCCCATGCCCCCATGCCTCCATGCCTCCATGTCTCCACCTCCCTCCGAGTTCTGATTGTCTTTCAGCAGTCATGACTGTATGCTCCTTGCGTTGCCGTTTTCCGTCTGCCCTGTGCCCGCATGTACATCGCCTGTGTCTCCTGCTGCACATCCCATGCTGGTTTCCCCACCAGGTCAAAGCGCGTGTGCTCTTCTGCACACATGCCACATCAGGGGCAGCAGCAGCAGCAGCAGCAGCAGCAAGCAGCAGCACCAGCGCACAGGGCGCTGATCCCAGTGTGGTGGTGCCGGCCATAGCACTCTCCCTCAGCTCAGCTCTCCTCCGCGCCACTCCCCCCTCCATTGAGGTGCGCTGCGCTCTTCCGCACACACCGCACGCACTCCCCGCCCTCCACCATTGAGGTGTTGTAACTTGTGACCGTGTTTTGGGAGTTCCAAGTAAGCAGACCCCCCAAATTCTCTGAGAGTTCTCCCCTGTCCTCGTAACCGTCAAACCACAGAAATTTTCAGAAGTTTCAACACCACCCTGTGGAGGGTCCGCCCTTTTTCTTTTCCTGTGTCGTCCTTCATTTCTGTGCATCTCCGTCCTTCCTCCTCCTTCCTCCCTGCTCCATCTGTTCCCCTGCTCGCCGCACCAGTGGCAAGCGTCCCCCTCCGCCCCTCCCACCAAGGTTCTGCCAGGCGCTCTCTTCCCTGCTGCTGTGGTGGAGCGCGTTTACCCTGGGCTGGGCGTGCTGGTGCGTCTGGCGGGAGGGGAGAAGGAGAAGAAGGAGAAGGAGGGCGAGCAGGGGAAGCAGGGGAAGAAGCAGCTGGGCAAGGCCGCGTATGCACTTGTTCCCGTGAGTTCCGCTGCTGGGTTGTGCGTGTTTGGACGTCTGGGATGGGAAGCTGGTGCAGTGGGTGGAGAGTGAGTGCTTGTGATGTGTATTGCACGTGTCGTCGCTTGGTTGATCTCTCGTGTCCCTTAGCCTGGCTTCTCATGCAGTTCTGCGCTCATCTTCATAATCCTGCTCCTCCCCCTGTCCCTCTCCCCTTGCCCCTCCCCCGCTCTCTCCTGCCCCTCATTCCCGTGCCACAGCTGCGCCAGCTCTCTGCATCCGGTGAACCCGCCATCCCAGCGCATGTGGCGGAGGGCAAGCAAGTGTGTGCGCGCGTGCTGCACCTCTGCCCCTCTGACGGGCTCGCCATCGCTTCCCTCAAGGTGCGAGTGTGTGCGCGTGCGTGCGTTCGTGCCTGCGTGCGTGGGGGGGTTGTGTTTTGAGTCGTCCCAAAGCGTGCTGCACCTCTGCCCCTCTGACGGGCTTGCCATTGCCTCCCTCAAGGTGCGTGCGTGTGCCGTGTGCGGGGCTTTCAGAATCTTCAGAAGCGACTCAGATTTTATAGGCTTCTCAAACCGTTTTGTGACCTCCCAGAACTCGGATTGACGACACACACACACGCCAGCCAGCCATCACCTACCTTAGAAACTCCCTCTTCCCATCCTACCCCATCCCCACACACCAGGGCATGGCGGTGAAAGCAACTCTCTCCCCAGCAGGCATGCAGGCGGGCAAGCTGGTGACAGGCACGGTGGTGGCAGTGGGAGAGGAGGGCGTGCGACTGCTTTCAAGACTTCCCTTTGTTCCACCCCAACCACCCCACACGCCAGGGCATGGCAGTGAAAGCAACTCTCTCCCCAGCAGGCGTGCAGGCGGGCAAGCTGGTGACAGGCACGGTGGTGGCGGTGGGGGAGGAGGGCGTGCGCGTGCGTTCAGATGTCTGTTCGCTCCACAATCCCTCCCCACCCCACACCACACCAGGGCATGGCGGTGAAAGCAACACTCTCTCCGGCGGGCGTGCAGGCGGGCAAGCTGGTGACAGGCACGGTGGTGGCGGTGGGAGAGGAGGGCGTGCGCGTGCAGCTGGCGTTTGGGCAGTGGGGGTGGTGCCCTCGCGCGCACATGAGCGAGGGCAGGGCAACACACCGGGACGACGCCGCCTTTCAGGTGCGCTACTTGTTTTTGGTGTGTACAAGTAGGTAGAAAGCCCTCGAGGCGTGTCCGTGTCTGTATGCACACTTGGGTGAGTTTTGAGGCGCCTCAAAAGTCCTTTCAGGTGCGCTCCTTGTTTTTGGTGTGTACAAGTAGATAGAAAGCCCTCGAGGCATGTCCGTGTCTGTATGCACACATGGGTGAGGGCAGGGACACGAGGGCAGTCCCAGCTTTCATGTCTGCTCTTGGAAGGCTGCATCTCATCTCCCAGCTCCAGTTCCTCACAAGCTGGGACTGCAGCTCCAGTCCCCAAGCTGGGACTGCAGCTTGTGGGGTATGAGATGAGAAGCGGCCCTGCCCTGCCCTGCCCTGCCCTGCCTTCCATGGGTGTGCTCTTGTGCTGCCATCCAGCTGCACGACACTCCCTCCCTCCCTCCCTCCCATCCACCCTCCCTCCAATCTCTCTGCCTCCATGCCATCGCACTGCATGGTCTGTGTCTGTTCTGTGCCTGTGCCTGTGCCCCTCTCACCTAGCAGCCAGGGGCGTCGCTGCAGTTCCGAGTGCTGCGCCAGGGAGAGGGCCCAGAGGGACCCGTGCTACTCACCCACAAGAAAACACTGGTGGGTCGAGCAGCTGAGAGGAGGGGTGAGCGAGGAGGGAGGTGGGAGGAAGAAATGAGGGAGCTGGGTGTGTGGAGGGAGCATGAAAGAAGGGTACAGGGGATGGAGGGTATTGGGGAAGAGTGGGAGGGTATTGGGAAAGAGTGGAGTGCAGGTGCCAGTCTCCTACAACCGTTCTGCACTGTGCCTGTATTCCGCCCACCCCTGCTCTTGTACTACTCCCTCCTTACATCCATCTGCTGTCTGCGTTCATGCACTCACCATCCCCTCTCCCGCCCACGCTCCTGCCCCACGCCTCAAACCCACAAAACCCACAAATTCGAATTCCTGATCTTGAAGCCCTAGCCCCGAAACCCTGCCTCCCCTTGCGCACACAACAGCTGTCTTCCAAACTGCCTGTTCTGACGAGCCCGTCGCAAGCAACGGCGGGCGTGTGCGCGCATGGGTGGGTGGAGGCGGTAACCAAAGACACGTGCACCGTACACTTCTATGGGGACTTCTCTGCTACCATCCACAGGTGCGTGCTGAGGGGGGGGGGGGGAAGGGGGGGAAGAGGGAAGTCGAAAGACACGCGGGTGGGTGGAGGCAGTGACAGAGGACACGTGCACCGTGCACTTCTATGGGGACTTCACTGCCACCATCCACAGGTGCGTGTTGTGGGGAAAAAGGGGGAGAAGAGCGTTGGGAAAGAGGCGGGGAGGGGAGGGGATGAAGGATGGGGGTTGAAGGTAGTGGGAGGGCACATGGCTTTGGACGCGCAAGTTTAATTTCCATCCTCCCCCCTTTTCATGCGGTCCTTCTCTCCCATATCTCGCTTGTTCTCTCCAGCGAGTACGAGGAGCAGGCGGGGGGCAAGGTGACACGCTGGGCATCACTGCACGTGGGTCAGGTGTTGCGCTGCTTCCCGCTCCCCCATTCCATCCCTTTCACACGTCCCTTCTCTCCTCTCCCTCACATCAGGGAGCAAGAGGAGCAGGCGGGCGGCAAGGTGGCCCCCTGGGCATCACTGCATGTGGGGCAGGTGCTGCGCTGCTTCGCCCTGCCCTCCGCTGACGCCGCCCACCCGCCCTTCTCCCTGCACTCGCCCTCCGCAGCTTTCAGCAACCACACGTAAGCCACGCACGCTCACGTAAGCCACGCACGCACACTAGAGACTCCTTTGCTTCTTAAACTCTTTGCGATGCCGTCCCTTCTTGTCCCTCCTCTCGCTCTCCCTCTCTCTCTTCATCTGCTCTTCATCTCTTCTTCTTGTACCTAAACAAGCTAGTTTCTCCATCCTTTGGCCTTAATCCAGCAAGGATGGTCGGGTCGTCCTTGAACCTTTCTCGCCCGTCCATCTCCCTTTCTCCATGACTGAGTAGTACATACCTACCCCACTCTCCCCCTCCCCGCCCTCCTTTCCTCGCTCGCAGGACACTGTTCCCGCCATCCTCTTCCCCCCACGCCACACCTCCCCCCCGCGCACTCCCCAACGAGCTGCACGCGGTGGGGTCAGTCATTGCGGAAGCTCCTGTGGTGCGCAGGGATGCACACTCGCTTGTGCTCGCGCTGCCCGCTGCCAACGGCGTGCAGGAGGCCATTATGGCTGTCGAGCACCTGGCCGACCAACCAGGTGGGTGGTGCTGTGTGTTGTGTTGTTTTGGTAGGAAGAACAGCGGCATGTGGGGAGGACTTTCCTCACTGCCTCCTGCCAACGGCGTGCAGGAGGTCATTATGGCCGTGGAACACCTGGCGGTCCAAGCAGGTGGGCTTCGAATGGGTTGCTGTGTGGTGCTGTGAGGTGCTGTGTGGTGTGCTGTGCCACTGGGAAAAAGGTTGTGTGGGAGGACTCGTTGGACCAGCAAGCTTGTTGGTCCACGCCACGCTTGTTGTTTCCAACAGCGTGCGGGACACCATTGTGCATGTGAGATCTTATACCGCTTCGCAACCCGTCCTTCCTCCCAAATTTATTCCCCCCTCTCCCCCTCTCCGCCACTTCCCCTTCCGCCCATCCCCATGCCCCCTCCCTCACCAGCATGTGCAGCGGAGCTGCTGGCATCACTGCGGCCGGGAGCAAGGCTGGGGCCACTGCTGGTGCTCTCCATGTGGCACGGATGCACGCCGATCCTCACCGCCAAACCTGCCCTCCTGCAAGCCGCCGCTGCTGGTGGTGGTTCTGGTGGTGGTGGTGAGGGCAAGGCGGCACGGGGCAAAGCGAAGCGGCCGCAACAGGGCTCGTACCATATGGTACTGTGGCTATTGGGCTGCTGGGAGGAGAGAGGAAAGGGAGGAGGAGGGTGAGACAGGGAGTGGAGAGGGAGGGTGAGGGAGAGGGAGAGGGAGGGAGAGAGCAAGGAGGGTTAATGAGGGGTGACATGCTTTTTCACCCCTCCCTCCTTCACAGTGGGTACGTAGGACTGCATGACTCACCGACAGTGAATCTGACTCAGAATGGTTTGCACGGTAAGATCTGTGAAGTCCATCACAATCAACCCCCCACCCTTCCTGCTCCTCACCGTGGTCCTTGTGTCTGTCACCCCCTTTTCCCCCTGCCCCCCTCCCCTCCTTCTGGACGTGTTCCTGAGCAGGCGTTTGTGACAGGAGTGAGGGCGGATGGGGCGTGCAGTGTGCAGCTAGCAGATGGCACCACGGCCGTCTCCCTGCCCTTCTCCCCCACCCCTGCCGCGCTCTCCACTCTGGTGCGCACTGCACCGCACTCAACCCCTCTCCTGCTCGTTCTGGCACTTGCACATATGCTATGCTTCCTCTTCCTCGCACCGTGGTACCACAAGCCATGCTGTGTATGCCGCCATGCCCTCTCACATCTCTCCTGCCCTCTTCTCAACCCCTCGTCCTCCCTCCTTTTCTTGTTATCTCCCATCCTCATTCTCTCAACAGTCATCTGCCTCGTCCATCCTCCCCTTCTCGCCGTCCGCTGTTGTTTCAACATGTTGCTCTCCCTGTCCTGTCCTGTCCTCCCGCCCGCCCCCTTACAGGTGCCAGGCTTTTCTGCAGCACCATCGCCTGCTACTTTCTTCTCCCTCGGCCAGATTGTTCGCGCCAAGATACTCAAGGTGGGTGGGGTGGGGGTCATCGAGACACTCATAGTGTGATGTGATAGTCGTTCGTGGTATGAATAAGGCACTTGGAACCTGTTTCAAAAGTGCTTATCTGCTGTTCTTTTGAAGGAGGGCGCAGAGTGACTCTGCACCACACGTGACTCTCCCCTTCACATCAGCCCCTCCAGGTGGCTCTAGACCCTGCGCCTCTCTCCCCGAATTTACCCAAACCCCCCATTTCACCCCTCTCACCCCATCTCACCCCATCTCACCCCACCACCCCACCTCCTCACGCCCTCCAGGCGTCACAGCCCCTACAGGTGGCTCTGGACCCTCTCCTCTGCGCGTCACATGATGGCTCGTTCGCATCGTCGCTGCTGCAGCACGAGCGCACAGCAGCACGGGTAGCAGGGCAGCATGAGCAGCCGTGGATGGCGGCGGTGGTGCCAGGCATGGCTGTGGAGGGCACTGTGCTGGTCAAACACGAGGGCGCCATGGGGGGAGGAGAAGGGGGACGAGGGAGAGGGGGAGTGGGACGAGGGACGCATGGAGGGGGGGCGTGGTCGGTGTCTTTGGTCAGTCCCGAGGTGCTCAAGGGAGTGACGGCGGTTGTCCCTGCTGACCTCGGTGAGAGACCTGTAGTGGAAGGACACTCCCTATTTCCCTGCCTATTTTCCGTCCCTGTGTATCCCTGTTGTTACAGACCTACCTCCCTCCCCCCTCCCCTCTAGGTCGTTCAACCTACCTCCCTCCCCCCCCCCTCCCCTCTAGGTCGTTCAACCTACCTCCCTCCCCCCTTCCCTCCCCCCCTCACGCCATCCCTGCCTCCCCACCACATGACCTATGCATGTGCACTCCTCGTTCTGACAGCATCCAGGCTGCTCGCCCTAGGAGAGCAAATCTCAGGGCGAGTGGTGGACGTGGGAGGAGAGGCAGGGCGCGTGGTACTAGCAGTGGGAGACGTTGCTGCTCCGCAGCCGAAGAGTGGGAGTGTGGACCAAATGGTGCTGGTGAAGGGGACGAGGCTATTGGTGCGAGTGCTGCTCGCCACGCCACACTATGCGGTACGTACATACGACACTGTGTTGTGTTGCTCAATCCATCTTTTAGGGGCCTCAGGATGATCCCAAACGATTCCTGTTATGCTCCATCACTCTCCATCGCTCAAGCCTGCCTTTGTGCGAGTGCTGCTCGCCACGCCACACTATGCGGTACGTACGACACTGTGTTGTGTTGCTCAATCCATCACCTTTTGAGGTGCCTCCGTGATCCGATCCGATACACTCTTTGATGTTATGCCGCATCACTCAAGCCTGCCGTTCCTTGACCGTTCTCAGTAATTGGGTTGAATTGAGTGAATACACTCTGTCATGCAGACAAGGCCAGGTTCTTATCTTCGTCTTCGTCATACACCCCTCTCACGCCTTCCTCTCCCCTCCTATCCATCGCCTCTCACCTCATCCTCTCTCCCAGGTCGTTTCACTGCCTGCCTGCTGCACTCTGCCGGCAACTATGGGCCAATCGCAAGCAGCCACGTCAGCGCCGCTGCTGGCGACGCTGGCAGGGGGCGACTTCAACCTGCCCCACGTGGACGTCCCTCGGTTGTACGGCCCTGGACAGATGTGCGTGATGCTGCCCCGCCCATGCACTTGCACTTGCTCACGTGCACATGCTCTTGCACTTGCTCTTGCTCTTGCAGTGGTTTGCCGTGTCAGCATCAGCATCAGCGTATCAGCATCAGCATCAGCATCAGCATTTGCGCATCAGCATCGGCATCAGCATCAGCGCATCAGCATCAGCGCATCAGCATCAGCGCATCAGCATCAGCGCATCAGCATCAGCGCATCAGCATCAGCGCATCAGCATCAGCGCATCAGCATCAGCATCAGCGCATCAGCATCAGCATCAGCATCAGCGCATCAGCATCAGCATCAGCATCAGCGCATCAGCATCAGAATCAGTATCAGCGCATCAGCATCAGCGCATCAGCATCAGCATCAGCATCAGCATCAGCGCATCAGCATCAGCATCAGCATCAGCGCATCAGCATCAGCATCAGCGCATCAGCATCAGCGCATCAGCATCAGCATCAGCGCATCAGCATCAGCGCATCAGCATCAGCATCAGCGCATCAGCATCAGCATCAGCATCAGCGCATCAGCATCAGCATCAGCGCATCAGCATCAGCATCAGCATCAGCGTATCAGCATCAGCATCAGCATCAGCATCAGCATCAGCGCATCAGCATCAGCGCATCAGCATCAGCATCAGCGCATCAGCATCAGCATCAGCATCAGCGTATCAGCATCAGCGCATCAGCATCAGCGCATCAGCATCAGCGCATCAGCATCAGCGCATCAGCATCAGCATCAGCGCATCAGCATCAGCGCATCAGCATCAGCATCAGCGCATCAGCATCAGCATCAGCGCATCAGCATCAGCATCAGCGCATCAGCATCAGCATCAGCGCATCAGCATCAGCATCAGCATCATCAGCATCAGCATCAGCATCAGCGCATCAGCATCAGCAAGTCACGTTGCTCAGATCAGAACCGGATGCATCGGTTCACATTCGGCTCCCCTCTGCTTGTCAGAAGATTCGTTTCAAACACAGTAGATGGGAACACATATTCTCATTCCGTCCATCCTTCTACGCTTCTATCTCCTGACCCCTCTCCCTCCTCTCTTTCTTCCCTCTCTTTCCCATCTCCCACCCCTCTCTTCCACATCACCAGTGTTGCAGCAGCTGTTGTGGCCCTCCCTTCACCAGGGACAGGTGGCAGGATCGTACTGGCTCGGGATGAGCTGGTTTCCTTCACCCATCCTTCCTCAGGCCCCACCGCCGCCGCCACTGCTGCTGCTGCTCCTCCTGCAGCTTCTTCCGCACCCACTGACCCTACACCTGCTGCCACTGCCGCTCCCACTGCCGCTGCCACCACTGCTGCCACCGCTGCTGCTGCTGCTGCTGCTGCTACGGCATGCACCGCCACTAGTGTGTGGCAGAGCCGCCACGCGCAGCTGCGCCTGCTGGTGGGGGCGGAGGTACAGGGGCAGGTGCAGGCTTCCACTCCCTCCTCTGCCGGGCTGGCTCTTGTGGATCTTGGCGGAGGGGTCTCCGCCATCCTGCGTTCCTCCCAGGTACTGCCTCCCTCCCTTCCCCCGGTACTGTGTATTACTCATTATGAGCTATGTAAGCTCTGTAAGCTCTGCTGGTGGGGGCGGAGGTGCAGGGGGGAGGTGCAGCCTGCCACTGCCTCCTCTGCTGGGCTGGCTCTTGTGGATCTTGGCGGAGGGGTCTCCGCCATTCTTCGTGCCTCTCAGGTACCCTGCCCATCTCGTCACCACCTCCCTGTTCTCTGCATCCTCTCTGCCCCCTATTCTCCCACTCCTTCCCCCCCTCGTCCACCCCACGTTCCCCCCCCTCCTTCCCCCCCACCTTCCCCCCTCCTTTCCCCCCCTTTCCCTCCTCCTTCCCCCCCTCCTTCCCCCCTTCCCCCCTTCTTGCCCCCCTTCACCCCCCTCTTCACCCCTTCACCCTTGCGTATGCACACCATCATTCTGATCCGGTGTAACTTATCTGTGTCTCCTGAGTCCCTTTATCTCCAACATTATTGCCGCTCTGCCTCTCGCACATGCTGCTGTCCCCCTTACCCTCCACCACGCTCCATATCCCCGGTGTGTTCCCCTGTTCCCCTCCTCTCCCCTCTCCAGTTCCCCTCTCCTCTGCATGCAGGAGACATCATTAAAGCCCGGGTAGACAAAGTGCTGTTGAGCATTGCAGCTGCTGCTGCTGTGCAAGGGAAGGACCAGGGCCATGGTCAGGGGCAGAAGCAGGGGAAGGGGAAAGGGAAGGCGGAGTTGAGTGAGGAGGAGCGGCGATTGGTGGAGGAGAGAGGGATGTGTGTGCTGATTAAGGGAGCAGTTGTTGTGGAGAAGGGAGGGGGCGACAGAGTAGGGGAGGTGGAGAGAGGGGGTTTGGAGAAAGATGTGGTGAGGAAGGCAGGGAAGGGGAAGGTGGATGTGGCGATGGGTGACGAGGAGAATAATTCAGCAGAAGAGGTGGATGAGGAAGAGGAAGAAGCAGACGAGGACGAGGAAGAGGCGGAAGGGCAAGATGAAGAGATGGAAGTGGATGAGGAGGAGCATGATAGTGATGAAGAGAAGGAGGGGGCCAATGGTGGTGGTGGTGATGGCGGTGGGGAGGAGGATGAGGAGGATGAGGAGGAGGAGGTTGCGCCACTGCCTGTGGCAGTGCGTGGTGCTGGTCTGGTGGGAAGAAAGCGGTTACCAGCAGAGGAGTCAGACGAGGAGGAGCAAGTCAAGGAGGAGAGCGAGGAGATGAAGAAGCAGAGGAAGAAAAGGGCCAAGAAGCGGGAGAAAGAGGCCAGGCAAGAAGCGCTCCTGCCTCCATTCCATACGCCTTTCCAAGTAGCCCACACCCTATGGCGTGCTTGATCGTGCATGTACCAACACGCATGCGCCAATCATGGTGCCCCAGTCAATTCTCAAGTCATGGTGCCACTGAATCCCCATTAACCATTCTTGAAGTGATCCCCCCACCTGTTCCTCTTCTCCTCTCCACCCCTCCCCCCTTTCCTCTCCTTGCCCTCGGCAGGGAGCGCGCCATTCAGGAGGCGGAGCAGAGGAGGGTGAGGGGCCAGCAGGCGCCGGAGACAGAGGCGGAGTTTGAGCAGCTGCTGCTGGCATCGCCCAACAGCTCCTTCCTCTGGATCAAGTTCATGGCCTTCCTGCTCTCGCTCTCTGAGATTGATAAGGCCAGGGCGGTGGCTGAGAGGTGAGAGGTTTGAAGAGTGCGGTTGAATGTAGTGGGATGTGGTGGGGAGGGAATTGAACAGCTTGTTCCTCTGGACCAAGTTCATGGCCTTCCTGCTCTCGCTCTCCGAGATCGACAAGGCCAGGGCGGTTGCTGAGAGGTGCGAGCTGCCTTTGGGGGTACAGTGCAGTATGGTGGGATGTGGTTGAGAGGAATCCAAATTGCTAGTTCCTGTGATGTGGATCAAGTATATGGTGTTTAGAGTACTGTACAGTCGACCAGGTTATGTCATATAGCTGCTCTGTCCACATACATCGCCCGCTGTCCTTCCCATTCTCCTACCCCCCTTCCCCCTTGCTTCCCCCATCACCATACACGGGTGTGTGTGTGTGTGTGTGTGTGCATGCGTGTGTGTGTGTGTGTGTGTGTGTGTGTGCGTGTGTGTGCGTGTGTGTGCGTGCATGTGCGGTTGTGCATGCATGCATGTGTGTATGAGCAGAGCATTGAAGACGATAAGCTACAGGGAGGAAGGGGAGAAGCTTAACATCTGGGTGGCATACCTCAACCTGGAGAACATGCATGGCAACCCACCCAAGGTCTGTTCTTGCACCGCATTCCACCTCGGCCTATGGGGCTAGGGCAATGGGGCTGGAGCGGCAAGGCATTGGTTTCGGGCATTAAGCAGTGTGTGGCATGCAAATGCACATGCTTTCTTGAATTTCAAACAGGCCAACTCCTCCTCATCTGCCCCCCTTCCCCTTCCTCCTCCCCCTTTTGACTTCCCCTTCCCCCTTCCGCCCCACATTCTACTCGCCCCTACCCCAACCTTCCCACGCACCGACAGGAAGCGGTGCTGGCGCTCTTCCAGCGGGGCCTAGCGTACACGGACCCAAAGAAGCTGCACGTGGCATTGAGGCTTGATCATGTCCCTTTCTGCTCCCCATCCCCCTGCCCCAACCTTCCCCCCCCCCACTTACAGGAGGCGGTGCTGGCGCTGTTCCAGCGGGGCCTGGCGTACACGGGCCCGAAGAAGCTGCACGTGCTTCCGAGTTCCTACCGAGCCAATTTTCCCCCTTTCCGCCCCCCGTCCCCTGCCTGATCAACTCCCAGGAGGCGGTGCTGGCGCTGTTTCAGCGCGGCCTGGCGTACACGGACCCGAAGAAGCTGCACGTGGCGCTGCTGGGCGTGTTTGAGCGCAGCCAGCAGCACGACATGGCGGACACGCTGCTGCACTCCATGGCCAAGAAGTTCAGCACCTCCGCTAAGGTCAGTCAGTCTAGAGAGAGAGCAGGCAGGTTGAGTCTGCCCCTCTGCCACGGTGCGTGCGCCTCTAGTTGTGAGACTTCTCAAAGCCAGCAGCACGATATGGCGGACACGCTGCTGCACTCCATGGCCAAGAAGTTCAGCACCTCCGCTAAGGTCAGTTGGAAGTCAGTTAGAAGGCTCTTCTCGAAAGATTCTGTGTCAGTGAGCGGTGCCCGATTCCTTGCCATACATGCTGAGCTGCGTCCAAGCCCCTCTGGTAGTGTATGCATGCATGGCTTTCTGGTTGTTCCATGCGCCCCTGCTTGCGGGTCTGTCAAAGAACCGTCTGTCTGTCCGTTTACCCCCTATTGGACTGCGAGCAGGTGTGGCTGCGCTACATCCAGAACCAGCTCAGCCGCGGGCTGGAGGAAGGTGCCAGGAAGCTGCTGGAGCGGGCGCTCACTGTGCTGCCGCAAAGAAAGCACATCAAGGTGCGGGAGTGGGAGGGGGGCACCAGCTCATGGGGCTCGGGAGTGAGGAGAGGACCATTCAAAAGACTTGCTTGCTATTTCAACACGTACGGGTTCTTTGAAGTGACCATACTGTTCTCACTTCTCTCTCACTCCACTTCTCTCCCTACATGTGTCCCCTCGTCTCATCTGTAATGTGGGCGACAGGTGATATCCCAGGCAGCGCTGATGGAGTATCGCATTGGGTCACAGGAGAGGGGCAGGACGCTGTTTGAGAGCATTCTCAGGAACTTCCCCAAGCGCACTGATCTCTGGATCACTTACATCGACCAGGCAAGCGGCCTTCTTCTTTCTCCTGCTCTCCTTCGTTGCCGCTTTCCAGTCCACCTCTATCTCTCCGCGCTTCTTCTTGCTGTGAGTCCCTACCGTTCTTCCATCCCTCGCGCCATTCCTCCCCTCCCCTCATTTCTCCCTCCCCTTGGCTCCGTTACCCCCCATCTGCTCTTTCCAACCTCCCTCCCCCCTCCCCTCACCTTATCGCCTTGTTCCTTCCCGCCCCTCCTCACCCGTTGCGCATGGTTCACCAGGAGGTGCGGATGGGGGACATGGCTGCAGTGAGGCGCTTGTTTGAGCGTGTCGTGTCGCTGGATCTCCCACCCAAGAAAATGAAGGTGCGCTGAGCAATGTCGGGTCGCTCGATTTGAATCGAAATACAGTTTGCATTTTGAGCCAAGTGCATTTGCTCAGTGCATCTACCAGATATACTCATTAATTCCTCTCTATCCTCCCGTGCTCGTCCCTCCCTCCTCCCCACTCTCCGCACTCGTCCTCTGCCTGTTCCCGCACTCCCTGGCTGTCGCTCCAGTCACTGCTGAAGAAGTACTTGGACTTTGAGACAGCACATGGCACGCAGGAGCAGGTGGCGCATGTGAAGGCGCGAGCCGTGGAGTATGTGCAACGCCGCATGGGCGCAGGGGGGAACGCGTGACACACACAGGGGGCAACGAGGCGAGCATGGAAGAGAGTGCATGCAGCGCCGCATGGGTGCAGAGCGGGAGGACATTTTTCCTTCAGAGCATAAGGGGTGGCGTTGAGCTTGGAAGTGATCATGGTCTTCTAATGAAGGGTTTTGGGAGCGGTGCTTGGAATCTGAAGTGGAAGGTCTGGGAGGAAAATAAGTCCCGATTGACGAACCAATGTAGGGGCTTTCGCATATGGAGGGATGAGTGAAAGCAGCACGGGTGGTGTGATTTTATGATTGGCTTGCGGTGTGCAATGCCAAGTGAGATCCGTCCATGTCATCTGGATGCTATAATTATCCATGATTATACCAGCTAACAGGCTGTGTTGTGTGTGGGACCAGAGAGACCACTACGGTTCATTGATTGTGGGATAATTGCCCAAGTCAATCCCTAAGAGTGTACTACCGTACAAACACGCATTTCGTTGGAAGACGTGTTTCACAAGTCTAGAACTTGCCGAATCCATTGCGCCCTCGTTAGCAGCTAGGTTGTTCTAGCGGAGCATTTCCTTCCATTGCCCCCCCGCGCTGCTGCGAGAGCAGCAACTGGCGCAGCTTACCCCAACTCCTATTTTCCGCGCAACCAACTCCGCGCCCCTAACCCCTCTCTTCGCTGAACCTCCTCCGCCTGACCTAAAAGTACCTCATTTCTGGAGCAAAGGTTTTTGAAGCACTTCACCAATTTTTGTTCTCCGATCTGTTTCAAGATCTCCGTCAATTTATAGATCGCGCTGCTGCTGCTTGGCTTACCGTTTAATCTTTCTGATGCCGACGTTCCTTTCTCCATTGTCCCATCGGATTTAATTTGGCGATCTGGCCGCTGTCTAACATTCAGATGCAACACAAGCAAGAGGAGCCAATGAAGAGCCTTGGGCGAAGAAGTAAGGACTAATTTCCCTGATTGCCGTTGACGTGGATCTGCGCGCGGCTCATGCCTCGCGCGACTGTGCGTGTGGTTGAGCAGATGAAAAGGAAGGTGCGATGCCCGCCGGAACCTTCGCTCGGACCGTGCGCAATGGGCGACGGTGGTCCCATCAAGCCTCGCAAGAAGGCCAAGGCGAGATCGGACGGTACAGAAGACGAAAGCTTGCTTCTGGGAAACGGCCTGCCAACTTGCGGCAACTGCTCTGTGGTAAAACGCGGAGATCTTAGGATTTTGTTTTCCGATGTCTTATGTCGTGTTGTCATGCATGGGGCTTTGGGTGATGGTTCGTGATGTGTGTGTTACGCTATGTGCTCTTCACTGGCTGCATGTTTATGGCATCATACTTCGTCTTTATCATGTTACATGAACAACTTACGTGCGATCTGTTCCGCACCGCGCTAGTTTCTACTCTTTCCGTCCTACTTCCCATCCCTCTCTCCCGTCCCCGTTTCATCCCCTCCCTCCCCCCCTCCCCATCCCGTCGTGTGGTTTTTGCGCCTCCGTTTTTTCTTGTCCTCGTTTTCTACCTTCATCATTCTTCGTTCCCTGCAGCTCCAGCAGAGATTAGACAAAGCGGAAGACGGTAGGAGGAAGCTTCGCGAGGCGGTTGGGCTATTACGAGATCGGATCGAGGAGCTGACACAGACCGTCGCCACTCTCCAACAGGGTGGGTGTCTGCATCATCTCCTCTCGGTTCTCTTACCCTTCTCCCTCTCCCCCTTCTCCTTCTGCTTGTCGATTGGCTAATTTAAATCCGTTTTCATGCGAAATATTTTTCTTGCCTCCGTGTTCATTCTCCCGTCCGCTGTTTCTGAGAACTTGCAGTTTCTAACCTGGAGAATGTCGCTGATTTCCCGTTCTTGGTTTGACAACACTGTGTATTTTCTGCTTGCACAGACATACGACAGCAGCGCGAGGAGAATGACGAGTTACGGCAACGGGTGGAGCAGGCAGAAGGACGGGCAGATGAGGAATGCCTACGGGCAGTTAAAGAAGCTCGTCGGGCAGCTGACGCTCTCGATGAAGCAACGCGGGAGCGAGAGAGGGCGGAGGATTATTGCGCGCGGTTGAGACGATTAGAGCGGGAAGTAGCGGTGCTTCGAACGCGAGTTGAAGAAGACCAACGAAGGGACGCGAAAGGTCGTAGGGCCGAGGACGAGGGCAGTATAGATGCCGGGAGGATTGAAGCAGATGAGGCGAAGCGAGATTTGTATGTTAATGGCGATTTATTGGGGAAAGGGCAGGGCGATGAGCACGACAGGGAGCAGGAAGGAGGACGGAGCGGTTCTAGCAGCGGCACAAGCGGAAGTGAAAGCAGCAGTAGCGACGACGGGGCCACGAGTGAGAGCAATCGTGGTAGTGACTCGGATAGTGAAGCCGTTTCGTGCTCCAAGTCTGGGACGGAAAGAGCGGATGACGGCGAGGAGAGTGAGAGTGATGAAGGGGAGAGTGAAGGTGGGAAGAGTGACAGGCACGGGAGTATCAACAACGACGAATCGTGGCGCGAGGGGAAGAAGAAGCCTGAGGGGAAAAGGGAGGAGGAAGAGGAGATAGATGTGGAGGGGGTGGAAGGGAATGGTAGCGAAGGAAAATTGCAGGGAATCGAGACGACGCCACGGGCGACATTCGCGAGTGAGGAGAAGGAAATTGAGCATAGGAATGAGTTGGGGGACTTGGAAGTTATTGAATTGGGAGGGTGGAGTGATGGCGAGGAGGAGGTGGAGGCGGAGGGCGAAGGTGGCAAGGTGGAAGATGCAATGGGAGGAGCGCAGAGACAGGGTGGGGAGTGTGAGAGTAGGGAAGGCGGGGTGGTGATGGGGATGTTAGAAGAAGCAGAAGGAAGAATGGCGACGCCCACAAGAAAGGGCGAATCTAGTGAAGGTGGGGAATGGGAGAAGCGGGAGGTTGAGAATGAAGCAGATGCATTGGATGTGAAGGAGGGTGACCGATCGCAGGGGAGTAGTGGAAATGGGGTGGTGATTCCAGTAGAAGCTGTTACACTCGCTGCTGTGGCTACAGCGAGCGCCGCCAGCCTATTTCGTGGCGATACAAGAATACACGACGAGAGAGAACCGGAGGAGCAGCTGGTGCAGCGGGTGGAGGGACGAGAACATAGCGACAGAGAGCACATGATAGATCGTGCTGCTCCCGCTGCTGCTGCCCCTGTTGCTATAAACGAGTCACTAGAACCTGTTGCGATTCCTGCTGCCGCCGTCGCGACCCATACTTCTCCTGCTGTATCTGCCGCTGTTGCTGATGCAGTCACTGCCACTGCTGCTGCTACCACTGATACGGCCCTTGATGTTGCTGCTGCTTCTGCAGCTGCTGCAATTGCCTCTGCAGCGGATGCTGACCCTAGCGATGCTGCGATAACAACCCCGTTGCCGCATCCTGCCACTACTGCTGGTACCGCCGCCGCCGTTGCAGTGGAAAGTCGCCCTGGCAGTATCAGGGGAACTGAGAGCGCTGAGAAGACGGGGCGAGCAGGCAGCCCGTGTAGCTTGCGCGCCGTGAAACGCCTCGCCAGGAATCGAGGCCCACACGCCCTTTCCGTGAAGCCACCCGCGTTGGCCCCAGCACCTGTTCTCTTAACGCCTGCGCCTTTAGCTCCCGCGCCCGTCGCACCTGCGCTTGACTGCGCTCGCGGCGGCCCCAGTGGTGCCACAGCGGCGGCCATTGGTGAGCATGCAGGCACGCCATGGCGCGTGGCGGCTGGAACAGTTGATACTGCGGTGATGGTGACCAGCAACGGCGGATACGTGGGACGGAGAGAAGAGGGGAATGTGCGAGAAGGGGGACTGGACGGCGGGAGCAGGAGAAAGCGCAAGGAGGTGGGCGATTCTGACGGAGCTGCGCTGGCGCGGGCGCGGGTGGCAGAGCCGACGGTAGGGCATGCGCCGGCACGCGCGCTGAGAGCAGTGATGGGCACAGTAGTGGAGGAGCCACCGCTGGATGATGTGCGGGCGTTCTTTGCGTCGCTCTGCCTCCCCGTGGCTTGCTCCCCGCCTGCCGCCCCCTCGCCACTGCCGCTCTCTGCATGCCAGCAGCAAGAGCAGCAGCAGTCGCCATCAGTGCAGCAAGTCAACAAGGGGTGTGCCATAGCCATACCCACTGTGTCTGCGTTAGCTCCCCTTCCCTTGGGTCCTCTCCCGGCTCTCCTCCACCTGCCCTCCCCGCACCACCTGCGCGCCCCACCCGTGCCAGCGTTGGTTGCCCCTGGCCACATCGCCCCGTGCAGGGACGACCGCGTTGGCCCCCTGTCGCTGCCTCGTGAGTCCCACACCCCATCCAGCACACACGGCAGCTGCACTGCTATCGCCACAGCCACTGCCACACCTACTCTCACTGCCTCTGCTGCTGCCACTGGTGCTGCCGCGGCCCCTGCTGCCGCCACGGCTGCTGCTGCTCGGGCCAACGCCGGCGCAGGTGTCAAGGGTGGAACAGATGTCACTGCCAGCGGCGGCAGCAGCACGGCAGGCAGCATGCCCCCTCCCCATGCTGTGTGCGCCTTCGCCCCGCCCTCAGGCTCCTCACAGTCCCTGTCAGCCACGCATCCCCCTCCTCTCGCTGTCCCTGCGTCCCCTTCCTCTGTTGCTGGCACGAGCGCTTCTCTCCGTGATGCCTCTGCGGCTCATGCTTGCTGCAACGAGCAAATACAGGCAGGCGCGGGGGGGATACCGATGGGAGTGGCGACGGGGAGCGGGAAGAGGGGGCTAGAAAGGTGGGTGGAGGGGGATGTAGTCGCGGAGAGAGATATGGAGGCGGAGAAGGAAGCAAGGGGTAGCTCTTGCGGCGAGGGGGCAGCGGTTTTACTTGACCATTTGGCCGCTCTCGGGGAACTTGGGGATGTTGGGGTAGAGCGGGGGAGGGGTGTTGGGAAACGGGATGTAGGCAGGGGGAAAGCGGGCGGGAGGGGGCAGGGTGGAGGGAGAGGGAGGCAGGGAGGTGGGATGGGGCGGGGCAGTGGATTGGAGAGGAGAGCTTCTGGGAAGAAGGGGCAGTGGTGGGTTGATGTTGGGACAACAGCAGACGGGCAAGACAGGCAAGACAGGCGAGAAGGCAGTGCAGCAAGGGCTGTGGCGGCTCCCGCCCGTGGGCTCCTCCCGTCCTCTTCATCTCTCCCTGCTGCTATCTCCCTCACTCCACGCTCCTCCTCCTCTGCTTCTGCCTTTGATGTCGTAAATCCTCCCTTGCCCCTCCCTCCCAACGCTGCTGCCCCTTCCCCTCCCAATCCCCCTTCGGCTCCGCCTCCCCCTGCGCTTCCCCTAGTGGGTGCGCCGGGCGCAGGCACGAGTGTTGGCGCAGGGCGCGTGGCAGGGGGAGGGTGTGCTGGCGCTAGTGTTGGCGCTGGCGCTGGTGCTGGTGCCGGCATTCCAAGGGCGCGGTCATGTGGGGGTGGGCAGTTGTTAGTGGCGCCAGGGGTGGCAGCAGCAGTGGCCGTGATGCAGGTGGAGAGGCGAGTGAGAGAGAGGCAACAGCGGGTGCTGAGGAGGATGCGGAGGGGGTTGAAACGAAGAGTGGAGAGCATGGGGAGGAACAGCAGGGCCGTTAGAGGGGCGCTAGGGGCAGCAGGGAGGGGAGAAACGGGCAGTGGCCATGCCGGTGGGGGTGCATTCTGTCAGGCGCTTCTTGCTCGTTCCAAGTCTGCCGGTGCCCTGTCTATTACCGGCCCCACAGCTATTGCCCAACCGTCACCACCTGCCACTGTTGCTGTTGCTGCTACTTCTGCTCCTGCGACTGCTACGACTGGTACTGCTGTTGTTTGTGCTGCTGGGACACCAGCTTTGCAGTCTGCTGGGTCGTGTCCTGAAAGCTCAGCTGCTACTCTCCCACCCTCTCTCCCACCATCTGCATCCACCTCTCTCACTCCCATGTGCGCGTCTCCGCACACATCCGAGCGTGCCCCCATGTCTGTGGCTGAAGCCTTGGCAGCAGCAAAGGCAGTGCAGCGCGAGCGCCAGGCATGGGGGCAGGGAGGGGCGGGGACAGGAGCGAGGGCAGCAGAGGGCAGGGGAGGAGAGGGAGGTTCTATGGTGCCAGGGAACGGGGGTGGTGCCGTTGTGTGTGGGGTAAGCAGTGAGCAGCGAGGAGGGAAGCAATTGAAGGGGCGTGTGAGGGGAGAGGCAGGCTGGAGTGGCCTGGACGTGCTTGGTTGTTCTGCAGTACCTGCTGAGACGCCTCACACCAGCACCCCAACCGCTCTCAACCGCTCATCTATGGGAGCTGTTAACTGGAGGCGGCATGCTAATGGGACTGGAAAAAGGGCGGTCAGAGGCAAGGGGAGCAGCAGGGGTGGTGGTAGGCGGGAGCTGTGGAGTGATGCGGGGTGCTGGGATGCCAGGGATGGGTATTGTAGCGATGGGGGTATGATGAGGCAGGGATGCGGAGGGGTGGACAGGGCAGGGTGGGCGGTGGGCGATGTGTTTAGAAGAGGAGGGACGGGTGGGGATGGGCAAGGGGAGGACGTGCGTGGCTGGTTGGGGAGTGAGGGTGGGGGATGGGAGAGTGACGTGGATAGTGGATGGGAGAGTGAGGGTGGAGCGGTGGAGGTGCCAGAAAGGAATGGGGTGTGGAAGAGGCAGGATGAGAGCGCTAGGTGGGCTTCCAGTCTTCCTCCCTCGCCCACCCCCTCATCTCCCACACCCCATTACCCAAACCCAGCATCACCCATGCCCCATTACCCTAACCCCGTGTCACCCACACCTCATTACCTTACCCCCTCGTCACCCGCTCCTCATTACCCCAAACCCTCATCACCAAGTCCTCAGTACCCAATCCCCTCGTCACCTACGCCCCATTACCCCGACCCTCCGTCCCCAACACCTCCATCCCCCACACGACATGTGTTGCCTACACCGCAAGCATGACTGCACGCGTCTCCCGCGTGCATCGCGCAACACGAACCGCCATCTGCCCAGGCCACTTACGGCACCTTATGCGCTCCCGGCAGTGCTAACCTCTCCACAGGTCCTGTGCTCGCTGCTGCCTGCCCTGGTTGGCAAAGGGGTGCTGCTGTCACAACCACAGCAACTATTCCTTTCACTACGGTACCTCTGCCTCTGCCAGCTGAGCTCTCAAGCTCGTTGTTTGGGTTGCCTTGCTTGGTCCATGGCAAGTAGCAATGCATGGGCTTGCGTTGTGTGGTATGGCAAGCAAATTTTGTGTTGTGAGGCGCCTCGGAAGAGGGGTGCTTTTAGGTTGGTGAGCGCAGCCCTCCAGGGCTAGTTTTGTGGGGAATGTGTTGCGGATTTGGATACGGTACTGTAGGATGTTTAGGCCTAGCGATAGTTCAATGATGCAAAAGGTTCAGCCCAGCATTAATTGAGGAAAATCAAGAAGAAAAAATGCTTATAAATGGAATAGATACAGTGGGTGCAAAAATGTGGCATTTGTAACAGGGAGTAGCTCTGTACAAAGAAAACAAGCGGGCTAGGGGCAAAATTGGATGACGGGTGGGAGAGCAGCAGTTGCTCCCTCACCACATGTGCATGAAACTGGGGGTTGAGCCTACAAAATTTGGGGGCTGGAGTGACTGGAGGTGATGGGTGGGCCCTGTAGTGGGAGGGACTAGGCAGGCAGGGCCAGAAGAGGTGAAAACGGAAGCCACCTACACACGTGCATGGTGGGGGGGGTAGGTAGGTTGACGATATGCACAAGTGCTATGTATCTACAAAACTGAGGGGGTTGGGGCTTGGGAGGGAGGAAGGCACAGGAATGAGCATAGAGGGAGGGCAGTTGTGGTTGCTGTGTAGCTGGGCAGGGAAAGAAGCGGTCACTGATAAGGTAGGGTGGTTGCTGTGTCCAGTCAGTGCCAGACTGGGTTGCGGTGGGGAGAGCAGGCTGTGGTACAGATAGGGTCTCCAGAGGAGCAGACGACAGGCGGAGGAAAGGAAAGGAGGAGGCTGAGTAGATTAGGCCGCAGAGCAGTGGGTGGAGTGGGGTTGTGCTGTGGGTACTGAAATTGGTGCTGCCAGTGCCGCCAGTGCTGCCAGCAGCACAGGCGAGCCAGTTCGCGTGGTGGAACGGCAGCAGGCATCCACTTGTACCACGCAGATGAATGGTGGGCGCGCTTGTGTCTAGGGGAAGATGCCGCTGACTTGGTAGCTGCGGGCGATGCGCTCAATGGCTATGAGGTACGCTGCAGTGCGGAAGGAGCAGCCCTGGTGGTGGCATAGAGGGGGTCCAAGTGAGGAGACAGAGAGAGAGGGAATGGATGGTTGGGTGTTCCGGGAAGATACAGCAGTAGGTGTGAGACTTTGTCCCATGTGTCTGGGTTGTGAGGAAGCCAGGGATGTATTCAAGATCAATAAGGGAGTAGTTACACCATGTGTGCTTGTGAGTGCATGGGTCACAGAATGCTGTGGGGCGCAAGGCAGCATGTTCTGATCTGGGATGGTGGGATGTGGTATATGGTTGGATGTGAAGTGGTGAAATGTGATACGATGCGGTGCACTGCGATAGCCACGTACCCGCTCCTCAGCAATGCGGTCCACGTTCTCCCAGCCCTCGATCATGTGTTCCTCGAGCCCCGACCACACGAAGTCCTCCTCGGTGTTGCCGCGCACGATGGACTGCCTTGTGCTGTCGCTGAAGCGCGCGCCACCCGCCATTTCCTGCTCCAGCGCGTCCACGAGCTGCTGCTTGCCGCGCTCCTCCATGCGGCGGCTCATGCGCCCGAAGTGGATGTGGTTGAGGTTCTTGAGCCACTCGAAGTACGACACCGTCACGCCGCCCGCGTTCAGCAGCAGGTCTGGCAGCACCACCACCCCGCGCGCCTGCAGCACCGCCTCCCCCGCCGCCGTCACGGGCCCGTTGGCTGCCTCCGCCACCACCTTGGCGCGGATGCGCGGAGCGTTGCGCGCCGTGATCTGCCCCTCCAGCGCCGCGGGGATCAGCACGTCGCACGCCGCCTCCAGGATGCTCGCCGAGTCGCTCACCGTCGTGGCGCCCGCGCACCCCAGAATGGACCCCCCCGTGCGCGCCGCGTGCGCCTTCACGGCGTCCATGTCGAGCGCCTCGCCCGGCGCCGCCAGCAGCCCGCCGTTCCACTCCGCCAGCCCCACGATGCGGCCGCCCGCGGCCACTATGGCGTCGATGGTGTGGCGCCCCACGTTGCCAAAGCCCTGCACGACGAACGTCTTGCCGCTGATGCCCTCGCTCATGCCCAGCCGCCCCATCCACTTGGCGCTCTTGAAGAACTCCCGCAGACACACAAACACGCCCTGCCCCGTCGCCGCCGTGCGGCCTCGGATGCCCCCCTGCAGGCGCACGGCGCGCACACACAGGGAGCGAGCAAGCGGAGAGGATCAGGCACGGGTGAGTGAAGCACACGACACTGGTGTGGATAGGTGTGAATGGGGCCAACGAATTAGCACGGTTGCGTGAGTGATGTCGGAATAGTGTTGCAATTCCAAACTTGTCAGAAGATTACTCTGATTGAGATTTCATACAAAGAGATGCCATTTCAATGAGTGGCGACTCACCTCTTCCAGCGGCTTGCCAGTGACACACGCGAAGGAGTTGAGGTCGTTGGGGCGAAGCATCTGATACGTGTCCTGTTGGGAGGGGGGTAAAGGGCGAAGGAGACAAAAGGACTTGTGTTGAGACTCTTGTTCCATCCCAATCGTTCTTGTTGTGTGACAGTTACTGCTTGGTTGACTTGTGAATGCCATGTGAGCATAGCGACATTGCCATCCTACCTTTGCACAAACCAAAAT